CTCCACCCAGTCCACCCCAAGCAGCAGCCCCCACTCGTCCCCTAAGCAGAAGCCCAGGTGAGCCCTTCCTGCGACCCCCACCCCCCAGCAGCCGTGGGCTAAAGCAAAGCCAGTGCCACGTCCAACACTGGGAGGTCAGCCTGTGGCTTCCGAGCCAGGAGGGGGAGCTGACAGTCCCTAGTCCTGGCGTGGGACGCTTCTAGAGGTGTAGGAAGAGGATGTGTTACCATTTTATTCTTTCTCTTCCAGAGGCTGGTTCACTTCTGGTTCTTCCACAGCCTTACCTGGCCCCAATCTTAGCACCATGGATTCTGGAAGCGGGGAAAAAGACAGAAGCTCGGCAGATAAATGGAGTGTCTTTGGACCAAGATCCCTCCAGAAGTCTGATTCGGGTAAGGCTGCCCCTTCACGAAAGAGAGCAGTGGCGGGCATTTTACCATGTATGTTGGTAGCTGCTTACTAATTTTGAAATCGTTTGCTCTGTGGTTTACTTCTGTAGGAGGTTTTGCCATCCAGGCCTACAAAGGAGCCCAGAAGCCTTCTCCAATGGAACTGATTCGCACACAAGCCACCCGAATGGCTGAGGATCCAGCAGTGTTCAAGCCACCCAAAATGGACATCCCAGTGATAGAAGGGAAGAAACAGCTGCCGCGGGCCCACAATCTAAAACCGCGGGACTTGAATGTTCTCACACCCACTGGCTTCTAGAGCTCTTTCTGTTCCAGGGACTCTGGATAGAGGTGGCTTGAGCCCAGCTCCCCTTTACCTTGGCTCTGACATAGGAAAAGTTTTGTTTTCTCTTTTTAAAAAACTCTCAAACTGAGGCTAGAGCTGGAGACATAATTGGCTTTTGAGAAACATTAGTGCAAAGCTTGTCCTTGTGTGGAAGAAGCCATTTTGTACTGCTTTAATTTAAAGTTAGACTAAACCTCAGCAGTTGATGTATGGGGACCTCATTACCTATTTTTGTATCATTTACCCTACACAAGAACTTTGATCATTACTTAATAGGTAAATAATATTTGTGTTGTTCCAAAACCAAGGCTTCTTGATTCCTTTACCACTGTCCATGTGCGCATGGACAAATCATGGCATAGAGGCGTTCACTGACTAGTTTAGATGACTTTGGCCCTCCTGGCTGTGCTGGCACTGTGTGCTCCAGCCTTGTCAGTTATGGGGACCCAGGATCTGTTTGAGATCTGGGTATAGTTAAGAGCCAGCCTTGGTAGGGATCCCCTCTGTTTTCTGCTGAAACCAGAACCTCCTTGCTTTTTGGTAGACCTCATGGATCACTTTGTCCTGCAGCCAGTTCTTACGTAGTACCTCTTGGGCCAGTGCTGTTGGAGGGATGCTTCTCTTTTGTGTGTCACAGAACAAACACTAGCCTTACATATCCTTTGTTGCACTTTAAAGTGAGATTAATTTAACTCCCATTTGGTTGAAAACTTCCGAAGGGAGAAAATCCAGTCTACTGGTTTGGTATAGATAAATGGATGTTAAACTTTCTTAAAGGAGGTGGCAACTGCAGTTCGAGTATAGTCTTGCGGTTCATACGAAACTAGTGTCACCCTATTTTGAGTTTCTTGTTCAGGCCAGGGCCTGAAAAATTCTTTTCTGGGAGGTGGAAGAATTAAAAAATTTTCTGTATGCAATCATTTTCCCCCCAAAAGAGCCTCATACCTTTCTAAACACATACCTCACTGAGGAAAGGGATGAGGGGATCCACCTTTTCATTTCTCCTCACTTGTGTACATGTTCAATCATTGTCTTGAACACTGTTTCAAATTCCTGCTGTCTTTTGCTTTGGACAGTATGGTGTCTACACAAGGAGCTGAGCTGACCTTCCCACAGAGATGCCCTGGAGTCTAAAATGATCAGAACAGTTAATTTATTTGTGTTTTCTGTTATGCTTGTATCTCTTAACTTGTTTTGACAATAAAAATCCTTACTACTTTCTCAAATGTGGATGGAACTTTTTTTGGTTCTGTTAAGAGTAGTTATTCCATTCTGCCTGCGTGCAGTCATGAAACCGAAGCGTGATAAACTTGGTATTTTGAAAAACCATTGCTTTTTTTATTGTATGCTTTTAACATCAGATTTTTTGTAACACACTCAATCCTTTTGTTTTTACCCCTTTCATTGCATTAGATCTTGACAAACTGGCCACAAAGTCAAGTTCATAGGCAATATCACAGGTCCAATATAGGATGTTTGTTTTCCATTAGGGAGAAACAAATATGTCTTTCTCTTTCGAAACAGGTTGTCAGTACCTTGAATGACATAACATTGATGTCTAGAATTTGTTCAGCACACGGATTCTTTTTTCACATCTTGAAATGTTAAACATACAGTGCATATAGTATTACCTGTTTCAAAAAAAGTATAGATAAATAATTTATTAAAAAATATATACACCTTATATATTTAAGCCATATCTGAGGACAGGCTAGGATAGGATTATAAAAAAAAAGATATTTACTAAACAAAGTTATTATAGCCTATAGATAAATAAGATAGGTTTGGTCCTATAAGATTTTAAACTACTTTTTATACTTTTAGAACTTCCAAGTAATTTGAGATGGAGTTCAGGAGGTATTCTTGGCGTTCAGTGCTTAGAAGGACCTCAGGGTCTGCTCCAGGCCTGTGGAGAGGCGTCTGCGTCAGGGTTCAGGTCTGCGGCATAGAAAAGCAGGAGCTTCAACAGGTGCACCTTGTCTTGGAGCTGCGGAACGAGCGGCTCCCCCAGCATCTGGACCAGGCGGCTGCGGAAGGCCTCGATCTGTTTCTCCACGTCCACCACTGTGATGTCATCTCCTTGCTGGGGCTTGGGCTTAATCCTTTTGATTATTAAGTCTTTTCGATCGATCACTGAACTCCGTAAGTGCTCTGCAAGAGGGAAAAGTTTAGCGGAACTGTTCTGAACTGCTTTTTATTCCTTTATGACTTGGGAAGATGAAGTCCAATTTTGGTAGGTAGGGTCTAGGCAAAGACTTGATGAGTTTACTAGGATACAAGTCAAAGGGCATGTGAGTACCTGTGGTACCTCCATTTCCAGTCCTTTGTTCTTGGTCCTCTTTGGACCTCAAGTTTTACGTATTAAAAAATGTATTTCGAAGTCATTTAAATTTTTTTCAGAGTAGTACATGCTTTGTTTAAGAAAATCAAATTCTACTCAAAGGCTTTTGTCCCCTGTGACTGTTCTCCCCCAGTAGCAGAGTGAAATAGAGCACATTTCCCTGCTTAAAACCCTCCAGATACTTGCCTTTGCTTTCAGAGGCCAAACTCCACATTGTTCTGTGGCCCAGCCTGCCTGCCAGTCTCCTCTAGTCCTGCTCTCCTTCTTACTACCCGGATCTTACCTCCAGTTCTTGAAACAAGCTCTTCCTGCATCATGGCATTTGCACTTGTTCTCTCTATCTGGACTGCTTTTCCCCTAGACCTTTGCATGCTTACCTCCTTCTCATCCTTTGGGACTCAGCTAAGAGGCCCTCCCTGACTAGAGTGAGCTGCTTCCCTCATTCCCCAGTGTTCCTCTTCATCACAGCACCTGATTTATTTATTGGGTTGCACTCACCAAAACTATAATTGTTTTTGTTGGCTTGTTCACTGTCAGGCACTGTCACTGCAGCTAGAACGTCAGTCCATGAGGGCTGGGCTCAAGTCTCTGCCTCTGACGTCACGCAATGGGAAAGGGGTGTACATCCTCATCTCTTCCATGTTCTTGCTGGTCACCAGAGAATAACTAGGCAACCCCAATTGTGGGGCATTCTACAAAATAAGTGCCCTGGACTCTTCAAAAATGTACATATTACGAGAGACAAGTAAAGGCTGGGAGCTGTGTTAGATGACAGGAGACTGAAGAGCATAACAACCAAGTACAATGTGTGCTGTTTGACTGAATCCTGGCCCAAAGCAAAACTGAACACCTATAAAGGATATTATTGGCACATATTAGATAATATTAAATCAAGGATAAAATGAGTGGGATGATGAATAGTTGTTATGTAGGGGAATATTCGTATTCTTAAGCTGAAGTATTTAAGCATGAAGGATTATGACAGTGCAACTTACTCTTAACTGGTTCAGCAAGAAAAAGAAAAAAGCATATAGATGGATTAACAGATAAACCAAATGTGGCAAAATGTTAACAGCTTATGAATCAAGGTAAAGTTTATATGGGTGTGCATTGTACTATGCTTTAAACTTTTCTGTAAGTCCAAAAATAAAATACTGGGGGAAAGTACAAAGGTCTAAAGGTATCTCATCCCAAATCCATAACTCAGTCCCAACAAGGTTCTGGAAGTGTGTGGAATTGAGGGAAAGGAGCTCAAGGTTACATATAAGGCAAATGAAGTGAGAAGAGCCCTGCAGCCCTTCTGACTCCCAGGTGCGCCAGAGGCCACAACAGTATCATTTTCTCTATCTCATTTATAAAATGGGGGTAATGGCGCCTTCATTAACAGGGTTATTAGAAGGACTGAACTACAGTGTCCAGAAATTTGGGAAACAGAATAAACTGAAAAGAAAGTACAATAAATACACTGTAGAGTATCCAAAAAGTCTGGAAACATAGGAGGTGAAGCTGCCTTGAGATGTCATTACAGGGCCCTTTCAACATTCAATCAACAAACATTTACAGTGAGCACCTACTCTGTCTGTGGAACTGGGCTAGACTTCGGGGATGCAGTGGGATCAGAGCCTTGGGCCCAGCCTTCATGGACTGACGTTCTAGCTGCAGTGACAGTGCCTGACAGTGAACAAGCCAACAAAAACAATTATAGTTTTGGTGAGTGCAACCCAATAAATAAATCAGGTGCTGTGATGAAGAGGAACACTGGGGAAACGAGGGAAGCAGCTCACTCTAGTCAGGGAGGGCTTCTTAGCTGAGTCCCAAAGGATGAGGAGGTAAGCATGCAAAGGTCTAGGGGAAAAGCAGTCCAGATAGAGAGAACAAGTGCAAATGCCATGATGCAGGAAGAGCTTGTTTCAAGAACTGGAGGTAAGATCCGGGTAGTAAGAAGGAGAGCAGGACTAGAGGAGACTGGCAGGCAGGCTGGGCCACAGAACAATGTGGAGTTTGGCCTCTGAAAGCAAAGGCAAGTATCTGGAGGGTTTTAAGCAGGGAAATGTGCTCTATTTCACTCTGCTACTGCAGGAGAATGGTCACAGGGGACAAAAGCCTTTGAGTAGAATTTGATTTTCTTAAACAAAGCATGTACTACTCTGAAAAAAATTAAAATGACTTTGAAAAGATAGGATTGGCTGAATAGAGTGGGATATAGGGAACATGTGGGTTAGGAGCAAGAAGAATTTGGAATTTATTAATACAGGAAATTCAAAGAAGCAAAGGTTGGCAGTGCCCACCTAACCACCATCCAAGGGGAGGAAGTCTTGGCCAGTGGACTTGAACCATTCTGGTCCAGTTGGCAAGGCCTTGGATTTTATGCTTCAGTAGAGGAGAGTTCTTACATCGGAGGTTCTTGTGGTTATTGTGTGAGGTGATTTATGTAAAGGGTTTATTTGGCACAAGGCCTGGCTCAAGATATTCTGGCTGGTAGTATTATTAGTTCCTGGATCAACACTAGGATCAGCTACTATTATTTTATCATAATCATCGTCACTACAGGAATCTCCAATCTAACAGTCACACTGAGCTCTTTATCTTCTCTGCAGATCTTCCATTTATCTCCACGTCAGTACTGGGCGACATCCTTCAGCCTTGGTCACCCATGCCCTGTCACACTGATCTTCAAAGTGCTTCTGATCCGTCACTGCCTTTCCCACTGCACCACCCACACCCTTGTCACCATTATCCCTCCCCTGACCTCTCTGGTCCTCGGCCAAACTATTTATCACACATCAGGCAGAGTGACCTTACTTAAAACCACTTTGATGGGTTCCCTTCACTCTGGAATCAAGGTGTTATTCCTTAACATGAACTCCCTAACAGGAGGGCCCTTCACACCTGCTCCTGTCTGGTACCGTGGTCTCGTTTCGTGCTATTACCCCCTAGCTCACTGCATCCTAGTCCCACCAGTTTGCTCTATGTTCCTTGGACTCATTAAGCAACTTCTTGTCTCAAGTCCCTTGGACATGCTGTTTCTTCTTTCTGGGAAACTTTTCCCTCCCTATTCGCTTGGCTAACACTGGTACTTCATATCTCAGCCCAAGTATCACTTCTTCAGGGAGGCCTTCCTGGGTTCCTCCATAAACAGTGTAAGTCCTGTTTTGTGCACTTGTACTTTCCTTCACAGCATTTATTTTCATTGCAATTATATGTTACTTGTGTGGTGGTTTGTTTAGGGTCAATCTCTTTACTAGACAGTTAAGCTCTGGGAGGGCAGGGGCCATGTTGGTCTCATTCATTGAAGTTTTCCCAGTGAGCCAGGCACAGAGGAGGCATTCAGCAAATACTGGTTGCCTGGATGAATGTATGAACTTAACTGATCTTGCCTGAGTCTGCTTTTCTCCCCTCTGTGGACAGGGCTCCTTGCAGGAAGGCTGTATGTGAGACTCTCCTTGGAGTGAACAGGTGTCTGACTTCCGCATCGCCCTAAGTGGTCCAGCAGAGCGGAATTCAGGAAAAGCATGCATTTCATTCGTTTAAATACTATATGTTTAAATTCCTAGAATTCATAGTTTCAAAATATGAGGTTCTAATTATTCATAAGCATCAGGAAGACTCACGGCATTATGGCAATTCATAATTTTGCCGAGGCTGACTTGAGTTGCATGGTTGTGAAACTGGGGTGTGGGGGATTGATTCTCTCAGCCAGAGAATGTGAGCTCAGCCAACAGCCCAGCATCCATCTCTCAGTGGGGCTACTCTGCCCTCTACAGAAACATTTACAAGATGTGGGGCTTCAAGATATACTTCTCCCCAGGATCAAGGGTAGATACACAAGTATTTTAACCATGTATAGAGAGTTTAGAAAGTGGGGGGTCGGAAATTCCTTAGAATCTCACCTTCTAATCTCACCCAGTGATTTCATAGAAAATTAGTTCCTTCCAGTGTGCTTTCACCATATACAGACTTTGGCAACAGACCTGGCTCTGCATTTACTTTCCTCTCAGCCTTTGTTTTCCCATCTGTGAAAGGCGGGTGGTACTCACCTTCACAGGGGTACTGGGTTAGATAAGCCAGTGCATGCGCATTTACCTATGCTGCCTTCCTCTCTTCCTCCATGCTAAGAGGTTCCCATAAACATAGGGCGAGCTTAGGCTCCCCAACCTCTTCCCTTCTTCCCCTGCCCTTGGAGCTGGACAACTCTGGCCGACCTCAAAACGCACTCAACAATGTCCTCAGCTCACTTGAAGAGGACAGAGATGACTAAGGAGCCCTCACAGTAAAATGCCTACTGACAAGGACACTGACAATTTCAGGGAACCATTCAGCTGTGTTCTTTGTAGTTCTTTGTAGGACTCTGTTTTCAAACTACTGGTTCTAAATATTTTTTTCTCCTTCTTAACTCCTGGTCTCCAAAGAAGCTGGAAACGACGTTAAGGATAAAATAGCATTGGAACACACCCCGTTTATTCTTGGTCAATATACACTGGTCTGAGGCCTTCCTCTCCTTTATTCAAGGCAGAATATTCTGTAATAAAAGTAGATCCCATGTCCATCTTAAATTACTATTGCCCATGACCCAGGTGTATTCCCTGGGACGCAAAACAGAAATGAACAAGAAGTGTTAAAGGTGAACTTCAAGCAAAACCGAGCTGCTTTAATATTAAACTTTCAGCTAGATCTCCAAAAGAAACAATTACATAAACCTCCATGAGGCATGGAATTTGCCTTTGGGGCTTTGTTCTGAGAAGGACACATACCTTTCTTTGAGCGTGTTAAAAAATGCACAAACCACACAATTACATGTCGTGGCCTTGACAGTGCTCTCTCTTATGTTTTAGTTACAGGCGCCTGAAACAGAGAAGACCCTCCTGGCCAGATGACAGGCAGCTAACACTGACTGAGCGCTTTCTACTTTTATCTCACGCCCATTAGCAATCAGTCTTGGCAAGTTATGTATTACCATCCCCGTTCTATAGAAGGAAGAAACTGAGGTCTAGAGACATAAAGTTAGCTGCCCAATGCAGAGTAGGTGATGGAGTTGGGATTTAAACCCAGACCTTCTGTCTTAAATCCAGTGCTTTTTAAAATGTTTCTGTAACAGCTTCCTCAATTCCAGGCCCAAGAGGGTGTAAGGACCATCTTATCTTCCCAAGTGCCATTACTGAGCTAAAATCAACCTCAATATGATCATGGCAGGTAAATTGTGTATATATGTATGTATGTATGTGTGTGTGTGTGTGTGTGTGTGTGTGTGTATGCATTTTCCCCCCTTACTGATGGAGAATAAGTTGGACATTGTACCCCTCAATACTTGAGAATGGATTTCCTAAGACCAAGGGTATTTACTTTCATAAGCCAGGATAATTATAAAAAAAAAAATGAAACTTAATATTAACACAATACTATTATATAATCTACTTAAAATTTACCAATTGTCCCAATAATGCACATTATAACTTCTTTTTTCCTGGTTCAGGATCCCATCCAGGATCATGTTTTATATTCATGTGCTTTAGTTTGTTTTTAATCTGGAACAGTTCTTCAGTCTTTCTTTGTTTTTAAGACATTGTGACTTTTGAAAGTACAGGCCAGCTACTTTGTAAAAGCCCTTCAATCTGGGTTTGTCTGATGCTTCCTTCTGATTAGATTCAGGTCATGAATTTTTGGCAAGAACACTACATAAGTGATGAGGTGTCCTTCTCAGGGTATCACATCAAGAGGCATGTCAGTTTTCTCCCCTGAAAACTTACTATCTTTCCTTATGTAATTAATAATTACATTAGTTTCCCCAGGGACCACATTAATCCTTGGCTAATCAAATCATTCTTATTTGAAGCAGCTATTCCATCATTATCCTTGTCAATATTTGCCCCCTGAGTGTTAATTAGTCTAACTTTTCCAGATCCTCACGGATCACTGGCTTTGCCTGTGACTAGAGCAGAGCCACTTTCACAGACTTAAGAGTGTCTTACAACTTTTGCAAGATGTACATTTTTACTTTGCCACTGATTTGCTCTGTATTTGCATCATATTGATGGATATTTATAATGTCCGAGTCAGTGAGCAATCCACCCAACAAAGACGCTGCAGTGATAGGCCACGGAAAGATGCCAGGGCCAAATCAGGTCATTACTAAATCCTTCTCATGTTAGGATGACTTTTGTTTACCTGCACAGCCTAATAACTGTGAGGACCACTGTAGTATCTGCCATAACAAAAATACTATGTGAATTCTTCTGTTTCACAGCAGTGATTCTGGCTATGTCCTTCCTTGTTCCTCACAGTTACACCAAGGAACAATGGTTTACTGAAGCTAACAAATTAGAGTCCCTTATGTAACTTTAATTCATAATAATGTCCACTGTGAGACTCCCACACCATCTGGTTTGTGACCAAATGCTCCATACCTCTTAAAACATGTTGGTAACTGGATAACAGAAACTGTAGATGCTCAACCAGTTCATCCCATGTCTGCCACTGGGTTTTATCCGACTGCAGAGATAGTAAAAGCAATTGGTGATAAATGCCTTCCTCAGTTAGAGGTTTTGTACAGTTTTCAAGTCACTTTTACATAATGTAAAAAAGTGTAAAACACTTTTACATAATTTACTTAATCAAGGATTAAGGAAAAGGTGTTCTAGGCCTGGAACTGAAATAGGGAAAAATGTACCTGACACTTGAGCAGTGATGTGGAATTGTTCAGAAAATAGAGGGCCTGGGCCAGAGACAAGGGCAGGCGGGTGGGTGTCTCACAGCTGTGGAGGAATATGATTTCCAGCACTTTGCAGCGCAGAAGGTGGCTCTCCATGGTAGTAAAGAACATCTCTCTGTGTGGAGAAGAGATAGAGAGAGTTCACCATCACAATTATTGTTTCACGGAACATACACCACAATTCTCCCTGAATGCTCTAACCTTTGCCCTAATCCAGAGAAGGCTAAGAAGGAATACAGTGAAGGCCTACAAAATCACAAAGCTTGTGGACAGGGCAGAAATGGATTTGTTCATAAATTCGCAACTGTCAGAAGGAGGGAAAGTCTTTGATATTTGAAAAAGACTAGTTTAGGACACGTTAAGAAGAATTATATCATACTGTAACCAAGAGAATTAATCATGAGATTACATATTTCTGAATGGCCATAATGTGCCAGGTACTGTTTGGCAGAAACAAGGAATAATAAGAGAAATAAAAGAGGATATTGCTCTCAAAAAGCTGATAGTTGAAGAGGGGCAAGAAGTATGCAACAGGAAACCTACATAAAGCGCAGGGCAAGTGTACACGTATGCGATGTGCCTGTGGCGCTCTAGAGACACAGAGAAGAGAGCACATTTGGTCAAGGGGCTGGAAGCAGCCTTTGTATGGAGGAGGTGGCACTGCTGACAGTGGTCTAGGAGTAAAGAAGGCCCGAGGCAGGAGGCATTTCAGTGCAGGGATAAACATGGGTAAAAACAAAGAAGTAAAAGTCATAGCTGGGGCACTGCAGCCTTGTTAAATTTCAAGTCTAGGACTTAAGAGTCCCAGAGGGACTCTGGCCCTTGACTTTGTCACTCTGTGCAGGGCAGGGCTTGGCCAGCGAGGGTGGGTTGGAGCACATTCAGAGGCTTCTGAGCAGGACAGCTGTAAAACGGGGGCTGTGCTTCAGAAAGGTGAATCAAACTCATTGTTCTAAAAGCAATGTCAGCTACCAAAAAAAAAAAGTTATGAATCTCAGATGCACAGGGTGAATCTCTGGACTGCCTGAAGGTTTTTGCCTGAAGGTTTGTTTGGTGGTTCTTGCCAGGTCTGCTTGTCATAGCAATTCTGAGGAATAGACGGCTCATGAGCAGATAAGGAGATGGCAGCAACAGAGCTAGCTCTAGATCTCAGAGTTCTTTCTTCTACAACTGCCCCTTTGCAGTTTTGCAACACCTGGAAAAATAGGGTGCTCTTTGTGCCACTGTCACTTATAAAAATGATAAATAACAAAGTATCTATTCATTTTTATTTTCTTTTTTCCCCTTTCCCGTTGCTGTTCCACCAGGCACAGGTATTATTTGTGTAAAAGCAAGGGTAAAAAAGCAGAATAAATACTTTAAAACCTTTGCTTCTTACCATTCAAAAGTTTTAAAAAGTCTGTAATATTTGTGAAAATCCATTTTATCTCTCTTTTTTTAAAAAAAATATTTATTTATTTATGGCTGTGTTGGGTCTTCGTTGCTGTGCGCGAGCTTTCTCTAGTTGCGGCGAGCGTAGGCTACTCTTCTTTGCAGTGCGCGGGCTTTTCATCGCGGTGGCTTCTCTTGCTGCAGAGCACGGGCTCTGGGCACACGGGCTTCAGTAGTTGTAGCACGTGGGCTTCAGTAGTTGTGGCACGCAGGCTCAGTAGTTGTGGCTCACGGGCTCTAGAGCACAGCCTCAGTAGTTGTGGCACATGGGCTTAGTTGCTCTGCGGCATGTGGGATCTTCCCGGACCGGGGCTCGAACCCGTGTCCCCTGCATTGGCAGGTGGATTCTTAACCACTGCGCCACCAGGGAAGCCCCATTTTATCTCTTTAATGTGTGTTTTTTTTTTAAGTACGATTCTATACCTCCTCTGACAAATTTTCTTTTTTAATACAAAGGACTCCAAATTATTACATTTATAAGATATTCCCCCAATTCTTTTAAAGTTTAATTTCTACTCTGTATTTGGCCTATTACTTTCACAAGACAGTTTTCCTATTTAATAACTTTTTATTTCAAACTGTATTTTCTCTTCCAATTTTTATTCCAGGGCCTGCATTTGTCCTGGTTTTATAACCCAAGATGGCAAACCCAGAAATATCCAAGGGACAAGAAAGTAATTTTAATGTATTGGACATAGTAGGAAATGGAGGTACAATTATCTATAGCAATTCAAATTCAAAATTTAAAAACAAGATACAGAGGAAGGCTAACATCCAGATCCAGCCTTAACAAGTATAGCTGGTATTGGATTTACTCTCCTGTTATCAATAATTATAAACCTGTACAAAATATATGAAATAACTATTTTCAGGCATTGGACAAGCTACTACAAATGACTATTATTCTTGAGAGAAGGGAAACAAAGGTGGTGAACCCCATGTTTACCCCAGATTTCTTGCTGGGGGCACTTTCTAACTAAGGCAGAGCAAAGCGTTGGTCCCAAACAGAAAGCAGTGGGCTTGTTGGGCAGAGCAAACAGAGACTGGAGTTCAGTAGAGCTGAGGTGGCTGGAATTTGTGTCAAAGAAGAGGGAGCTCAAGAAATATGTGTAAGGGGCCCCCTTGGCACACGGACAGGGAGAAGATCCAAAAGCCTGGGAGAGAACAGCTAGTGAGGAGCTATGAGCTGACTGGGAATTTGGGAGAGTACCCAGTGCTGAAAGACATGGGGTTTCAATGAGCTAGAGGAGAGATCTCATTGAACATGTTGGGCATTCAGGTGCAACCCCAGAAAGACTAAGCTACAAGACTAGTATCTTAAGAAGGGTTGATTTAGAACACCCTTACAAATCCTAGAAACAAGGCTTAAAAGGAGAAAGCTAATCTGCCAGTAAATCACTGTCTGCAAGAATGAAACTCAATACTCTTTAAAGGAAGTCAGCAAATTTCAGACTCTCAACAATGTGGCATTCATAATGTTCAGCACACAATAAAAAATTATTAGACAGGGGAAAAAGCAGGAAAATGTGGTTCATAACCAGGAGCAAAATGTCCATAGAAACAGGCTAAGAGTTGATACAGATGTTGGAATTAGTAGACAAGGACTTTAGAACAGCTATTATAAATATGTTCAAAATTAACCAACCAACCAATCAACCAACCAGCTGACCAACTAACCAAGATATATATAATCAGTGATTAGATGGGGACACTTAGCAAAGAGAAATGGACACTATAACAATGAACCAAATGGAGACTCTAGAGCTGAAAAACACAATACCTGAAAAAAAAAAAAATCACTGGATAGGCTTAACAACAATTGGGCACCACAAAAGAAAAGATCAGGAGCATGAAGTCTATCCAAAGTGAAAAAGAGAAAAAAAAAAGACAAGTCAAAACAAAATAAAACAAAACAACAACAGTAGAAAACACCAGATCCTCAGTGTTCTGTGGAACAGTGTCATACAGCTTAATGTATATGTACTTGAATTCCCAGAAGATGAAAGTTTGGGGCAAAAAATAATGGCCAAGATATTTCAAAAATTGATCAAAAGTATCAACTCACAGATTCCAGAATCTCAATAAACCCCAAGCAGGATAAACATAAAGGAAACCACACCTAGTTATAATAATCAAATTGCTGAAAACAAAAAAAAGCAGCCAGAGAACAAAGACACATGGCATATAAGGGAACAAAAGTAAGAAATTCTAATGACTTCTCATCAGCAAGCCAGAAGAAAATGGAACATCTTTAAAATAAATTAAAAATATCTATCAATCTAGAACTCATATCAAGTAAAAACACCATTCATATATGAAGGTAAAATAAAAACATTTCCAGATAAACAAAAGCTGAGAGAATTCATTATGGTAGACCTGCACTACAAAAAATGTTAAAAGAAGTTAAGTTCTTTAGGTGGAAGAGAAATGATACCAAATGGAACTTGGATCTTCAACAAAGAAAGAAGAGCACCCAAAATGGTAGCTATGTGGATCTGATGTGTGTTTTATTTCAGCACCACTAAGCAATTAACTCAATTCTGACACTATTTACCATAGTGTCAGATCCCACAGGTTAAGGGCTCAATCCTACAAGACTGCCCTCCCACTCTCTCTTCAGGTGCCAATTGGAAAGTCCAGGTTGTTGACCTGTGTGCTTCTGAACCACTTAGCTATAGATCGAAGGTTCCCAGAAACCCATCTTAGGTTTGATTAATTTGTTACAGTGGCTCACAGAACTCAGAGAAACACTTTACTTACTAGATTACCAGTTTATTATAAAAGGATATAACTCAAGAACAGCCAAATGGGAGAGATGCATAAGGTATGGGGAAAGGGTGAGGCCCTTCCATGCTCTCTGGGTACATCACTCTACAGGCATCTCCACCTGTTTACCAACCTGGAAGCTCTCTGAACCCAGGCCTTTTGGGTTTTCAAGGAAGCTGCATTAGATAGGCATGACTGATTAAATCATTGGCCATTGGTAATTGAACTCAACCTTCAGCCCCTGCCCATTCCCAAGATGTGGGGGTGGGGTGGGGGGAGGGCTGGTAGTGGAGGGTTGGAGTCCCAACTCTCTAATTACATGGTTCCCCTGGCAACCAGCTCCTATCCTTAGGTCACCAAATACTTTCTGAAAGACCCCTCACTAACATAACAAAGATAACTTGATCACTCTTATCACTTATAAAACTCCAAAAGAGCTCTGTGCCAGGAACAGGATGAAGATCAAATATATATATTTCTAATTATAGGTCATAATATCACAGTTAGGTAGTATAAAGACTTTCCCTCCCATATCTCTGAAATTTTTTTAAAAACAACTAAATGTTTAAAGCAAAAATATGATCCCATCCTGGAGTAAAATGTATGACAACAATAGCACAGAGGATGGGAGTGGGGTAAATGGAAATACACAGTTATAAGGTTCTTACATTACATGTTATGATATAATATTAATTCAAGGCAGACTCTAGTAAGTTAAGAATGCATATTGTAATTCCAAGAGCAACCATTAAAAAAAGTAAAACATTTGCTGAAAAAGCATGTGATAAAATTCAATACCTGCTCATGATAAAAACTGAGAAAACTAGGAATAGAAGGGAACTTCTTCAACTTATTAATGAATATCTACAAAAAAACTTATAGCTGGCATCATAATTAATGGTGAACTCATATATATAT